ATTATAACTGTGCTGGTAGTAGGATCCATTTTTTACACCGGCTACGTCTGGTTCAAACCGGTCTTCCAGGAGCCCGACCCAGATCAACTTCGAGTATCTGAGGTGACGTACAGCCAGGCGAGAGAGGGTGCTTCTCCGAAAGTGATACACTGTACTGTTGTATTTCCTGAAAGCCGGCGAGATGAAGTACGGACGATGCAATTAGAGCGTACATTGGCCGCCAACTCACACTCACACAGTCGACACCATCATCGAACGGCGTCAGATTCAACGTCGCCCATCGTTGAAGCGAACCCAAATTCGGATACTCTGACTAGACAGGAAAGGTATATACTTCACATTCACATAGTTTTGAGATAGTTTTCACGGCGATGTTGCTGCTATTTTTCTTTTTCTACAAGTGTCAAATTTGTGTGTACTTTTTATGAATATAGTATTTGTTGTTGTTCCGTTCTATTGGTACGACTTGTTACCCCTCCCAGAATTTCTCGTTGTCAACTTATTTCTTTTTTTTAATAAAATCATTTTGATTTCCTCAAACAATTGGAAAGGTATTTTACTAACAAGGCGATACAAATACATCGCACTCCGTTCTAGTAACATCACTTTCCCCGAAGAACCGAAACGGAAATAAGATTCCCACCACAGACAATTATAAATTGTATCAAGGCGCGGTCTTTAAGATATTAGCAGGCATCCCGGAAAAAAATCCTTGGATCGATTTGTAAAATTGCATTTCAAGTGTTGCATTGTAGCCTACTGCTAGTCTAATTGTGACGTAAGGCCTATAATGCCGATTTTAAAACACAATCAATTTCAACAGCTTGAAACCAATACATATTCTTTGTCGCTTCAAGGGAACACATCATGACATGATCATGATAAATCAATATTGATGTAACGCTTCTCATTTCAGCGTTGGTGATGGAACTATTTACGAAAACAAGGCGTATAACAGTGAAAATGGAGAAGAGTACGAAGCTTAGAGTACATAATTGCCAAATAATAGGACATACATGAATCGCGTTTGCGACATTTCTGTGATCCATCAGAACCCTATGATATAATCCGCGATCGATGCTTCAGTTCAACCTATACAGCGCCCTCATTGTTCACTTAAAACTCAAATGTACACTCAAATGTACATGTATATAAATATGTGTGTACGTTTCCACTGCGGGTTACGGTACTGACCCATTTTAAAATATGCTTATTACAGACAATAAAAATACGCTTTATAATAATTTTGTATCATACTTATAATGATGCATTATGAAATAGAAACATATACCATATATAGAAAGAACTGGCCTATGGGAGAACATGGCCAATATTAGATGGTATACGATAGCGGAGTGTAATTAACTATTTGTTGTGAACATTAACCAGGGCCTTCATTTTCCCAGTTATGTCTGCAGTGTGCCACACATGATTGTGTGGACCCTTTGTGTTCCACGAGTTCCATATATCACGTGATTTTAAACTCAGGACGTTAATCATTTTATTAATAAAAATGTGCCCAATAACAATATCCATATATAAATACCAACAAATCTATTATAGTATATGTAACGAGTATGAGTCACGTGACCAATATAGGTGGGGACACTACGAAGACAAAACTAGTTGACAGAGCATTGATAAGTTTTTAACATATTGTATCACGTTTCTCACAATTTCTTTCAACAATTTCTTTTTTAGGAAAGATTCTGATCAAGTTTTGTAGCCAAGGGAATTATGTTCATTTTGTTTAAAATTAACGAACGAATTCTATGAAAATATATAAAATATTTCAAAATATTGCATCAAAATCTTGGCCTTTCAAATAATCTAATGAAGAACTATCGATGCCGGTGAGTTTCTGGTTTAGAATCGCTGAGGGCCACATTTGATTTCAAAGCCAGAAACTTCGAGGGCGTGGTTCTCTATCTCAACACGATATTACTTGAATTATTCCCGCAATTTTCTATAATATGATACAGCACAGAGCACTGTGCATGAATCCTGTTTTAATATATTATGATTTATTCCTGCTTATTAATTTTCCTTTTAAAATTCGTACCCGTTTCAAAAAATGTAAGATGCTACGATAAGGAAGTATTCCTGAAAAATCCCTGACCTATTTCAATACCGTCTGTTTAGTTTTACATCTTGTCCCTATATGGATATCCTACATGTGTGTCCCAATTCCGGAGTTAGCCTTAGGTTGTCGGCGGTTATTCCCCCAGACAATTACCAAACAATACAACAACACAACGTCAAAATCGTGGTAATACACAGGTTTACCCCAAACCCCGAAATTTCAATTTCAGGTGGCATTGTAGCCTTCGGGAAGAATACAGCATCACAACTCGGTTTGTTTCTCACCTTCAAGACCTATCACCAACAATATAAACGCGTTGTACTTTAAATAATTGATAGCTTTCCAGAAAAGTGTATTCTTTATCGACTTTATCAAATATGGGAGCGAATCAGTTGAAATGATGCCAAGGTTAAACTGTCAAATTATGATAGATGCGAATCTACTATTTGCATTGGTTATTCAATCAGGTTATACGAGTAGGTACTAATATAATGTTACTCGGATGAATGTAATTTGGCTGACATGTCTCTAGTGCTATCATGATGTAAATACATGATAGTTCATAATGTATTTGTTGTCGCATGGTGATTATGTGGTCTTTATACACATTTATGGCCTACACATTGGAAATTAAATAGTCATAAACAACCCGTGTTCTATTTGATCATGTCCAATCTGCATAAAACCATAAAAGTTAAAAACACCTAACAAATTGAGACTGGCGAGTTTTGGCGCGTGGAGCACCGACCCCGGTACAAAAAGGGAACACGTATGTATATGTGGGACTGTTTTTCATTTGACTTAGCAATAAACCGAATATTTATTATTCATTTCGTACAACATGTTGCCATGGATACCAGATGTACGTGTTTACCTGCGTAGTCTCTGTGTGACACGTCTCCGGAGTCGAAATTTAGCAATAACCATAAATAAAGTGACCTTTAAATACCACCCACGATCCAACAGATTATTACTTGATTTGACGATGAACTGAAATTTACAACCGAGGATCACGACCTTGTTGGTAAGTGAGAAATGTACACTAAAAGAGAGAACAAAGCAGAGCATATAATAAACTCTATTTCAAAAAAAAATGTATCCACGTACTAGAGACGTGTATATTGTTGAGCACAAACACCTATAATAATCTCCCGTTTACAAAGAAGCCATTCGGCAGTGACGTTCTATGTACGTGTAAATTACGACATAAAATCATAGTTGTTGAAAGAGAAAAGAAAATTAATATTTGACACGATTTTTTATTGAGATATCTCCCCAAGGGACATGCATGAATGGAGGTACCTTGATTATGTTTGGTTATTTTTAGGAATTTTTTTTCACATGTATTGCGCGGTTTGTATAACACATGGGCCAAACAGTGCATGTTAAACGTCTTCTTTTTTCTCTGAACCTGTCTTTTGAAAACAGCGTATTCACCATAAACGCTCGTCACTCTGTCAGTTATTTATCACCACAGGATTGGCGTCGACTGTCACGTGATCGCAATAATCAATACACCAAGTTAAATATTATCTAAGAGATATCATACGCTTAGGGTTGAAAAACACAAACAACAAACTAGTGCTGATACAGAACTACCGATATACAGCAAATTTATAGTTTGCCGAGGAAGACTATTATAGTTGTGTTGCATACAATATATCCGGTGAAGCAGGTGAGTACCAACGGCTTTGTGAAACCAGAACAGTTGTTCTGTATTGGTTTTTAATTATCTTGTCTGGTACCGGGAACTGGTGTCTCCGATATGATATAGCAGTAATTTCCACTGCGCGTGTACGCCAGCACCCATGTTGGATTTATTGTGATGTTCACACGAATTGACAACAGGAATTTTAGTAAATTGTCAGTCTTTCAGAATAATTATCGCCGTCAGCAAAAATCATATTATTTTAAACAACCGCATAGCATCGCAACGGTCGAATAAATATGATAAGTTGTTCTAACGTACATAATATATAAAAACCTTGAATACGTGTTTATTTATATATTTTGTTATTAGTTTCTCTGATGACAAAACCTGCATTGGGAATTGTTTTGTCTGGCACACAGTTCTGTAACCTTTTATAAGATTACAATATATTGAACTTTGGTCTATTTAGCCAATCACCGACTCGCGTTTGTATCTTGGCTGCACTTCCGCTTGCACAGAAATCTCCGTGTGATTCATTTTGATATAATGCGGTAGGTTTATTTTGTATGTTTTATTTTTACTCTGGAATGTGTTACAAAAAACTACTTCCTCTACATTTCAGTTCATGTCAAAAGAATTGAATAATTATGTTATGATAAAAAATATCACAAACATCTTAAACCAATGGCATTATTATACACATTCCTTTGAAAGATACATAATTTGAAAAAACACAATCTGAAAAAAATGTGATTTATTGCCATATTAACGATCTGTCACTATAAAGTACGATAAATAAAGCATAGTACATCCGGGTATTTAAGATGGCGTATCACTGCACGTGACATGTTTGTCCGAGTACGTCACTAAATATAGTCCTCGGTCGATTAGTGAAACAAGGAAAATTCATTCATCATTTATAAGAAGTGTATTTTTACTTATTAATAATGTACGTACTATATGTTTCTTAAAATAGAGAGACGTGACATAGAGACGTGCATTGTACGCAATCGCACCACACGTGTATTTCAAAAGTGAGGTTTCCTGATTTGCAAACAAGTATTACATAACCGCTGTTTCGAACAGAGTTGTACAGAAAAGTATTTGTTGCACGTCACATGTCAATTCAAATCATAACCCTAGTTTCTCTTTCAGATTGTAGTGCAGAAGCATTGGCATGAGTGTTCCCACGTGACAAATAATCAAAAAACCCAAACGAAGATTTTTTGAATTATATTAAATAATATTAAAAGTAGCGCTATAGACATGAATTCATGTGACAGCGATACACGAAGACTGAACCAAGTGCAGCGAGACGAAATGTTGCGAATGGAATCCCTTAGGCGACCTCTCAATTTACAACAGGGGAAACGTGGTAACCTCGTCATCTGTGCTACGTGTTTTTTAATGGTACTAGTCTTCGCAATATTTGCCGTACTAACAGTCTCCTTTCCGATCATCGGGTGGATGTTGGCGTTTCCTCTCATCTTCGTCTTTCTCGTAATTGTGCGACATATATCCGGCTGTATAGTAGGGAGAAGGTTCGATCGATTGGAGGCTGATGCCAGGGCTAGCAGGGAAGCTAGAAATAGCTCAGTGAACAGAGAGACAAATGACGACGGTAGTTTGCCCGCAGTTCCTGATATGCCACCCTCTTACGATGTGGCGTGCCCAGACTCGAGTCAAATGGGCAACGTATCGTCTCCAGTTTACGCCATCAGCGGCGGTAGCATATCTGACTCAGGAAATCATGACCAAGACTTGTAAGTAATGTTATTTTACTAGTAGTATACTTAAAGCGCGGTGGTCGTCGCGCAGCGCACCGCGCTTTAGCAAATCATGGAAAATGTACATCATTACAACGTTCATATATATACAAAATATAACAATATTTACATTACGAAATTGTGTTAGTATATGTTTTCAGAGTGACGGTGGCCAGAGGGCATTATCGAGGCGGTCGTCACCAGATTGAACGGTTTCCAACTGGTTACTGACACATAGTAGCTTAAAGGGAGGCAGTCGTTGTGCCGCGTTCTGTTCGATATGGGACTCATAGCGACGTATACAACGCGTGTAAAATACATTGTTTATTTACATGAAATTCGAACACGCGCTGCGAGACGACCATCGCGCTTTAAGCTTATTCCAACTGACCACTGAATCTCGGATATTCTACTTCACTAACTTGTGGAATATTTGAATTGGTTGCCGACTACCTGGATATTCAAATTGGCCACCGGCACTTAGGTATTACAAATCGTCACCGAAATATATAAAATATATTCTACTATAAATGCCACCAATATTGAAGCTCTGTCCCGATAAATATTTAACAAAATCCACAATAAAGAAATGATCTAAATTTGCTAACATAACATTTCCCCCCAAAATATGCACCATCACAGGGACAATTCTAAAAAAAAAGCATCACACATTATGACTACTCAGTATACTAATACAATAGAAATGTCTACGCGAAGCCTCGATATTGTATATTTCGACGAGTATCGCGTTATACTGGCAATTGAATCACGGCCAGGCATGCGCAGAGCACTCCATTCTGAGAAGAACCATGACCGAGCCACATATTTGATTTGAAATGAAATGTAGTATCCAGCATAAAATGTGTTGATCATCAACACTTATGTCTAATTTTCGCGTGCAACTCGCGTTTTAATTGCTTGGAAACATACGCGCGTAGTATACGTCACGGTCGCACAAGACACCGAACACGACGCATTTTGTCCAAGTTCACCGTGACGTACTATGTATGTATGCGTAACTAATGAATTATTGTCTCATTTTCAAACCTGTAGGATGTACTACGTGAATGAATCTTACGAACAGGACGGAGACGAACCTCCACCGCCCTCTTACGAGGAAGCGTTGAGACTGAAAGAACTAGAGGAAAGTAACAACACGCCGACATAACAATCACCTGTCAAATGAGAACGAACTACGTGTTTCTTTGTACTGATTTGTTTTGCTACGATTGAGCGAGTGTGATAAATACTAGGACATGATGTTGGTGACGATTAACAAACAGGGATAAATAATTTAAAATTAGTTCATGATTGAATTCGGATTTTCGGAATTGGATGCGAAAGCTAAGATTATGTATTCTATGCAGTCATATGCATATCATTCTGGGACGCTGAATGTACATAGACTGTTTTGCATCTACCGTCTTGAAGTGCCCGTAGCTTTTAATTTTTGCCTTTTTTAATTTATGCTACGACTTTTAATATTCACTTACTGTATTTTGGTTTTGATACCTGCTTTTAGTGATTATTGCCTGAACAACATTTGTATGTCAATATTCGGAGAGGCTATGAATTGAATACATACAATATGTTAAATTACTTAAAATATTACACTTCTGGTTTATGATTCAGGGGCGGATCGAGGATTCTGGAATGGGGGGGGGCGATAAGTTGGCCAAAGGCCAAGTTCGCGAGCGCCGATGGCGTGAAGCCCTGTTGGTTGTTAAAAATAGCTTAGCTATTACAGTAGTTCAGTTTACCCTGAAGTTATTAAAA